GAACTTAACTTTGTTCGAGATAGAACAAGTTTTACTTTCGGAATAACTCGAGTCTAAAAAATTATAAAAACATGCCTATCCCGGATCTTGATTCTGTTTCTTCTTCAAACAATCGACTTATCACCGAGGAGCTAGAATATGACATTACCGCTATGAAGACCGAGTTTGATCGTATGTTTCTTGCATTGACAAATGAGCAGCGTCACATTTTCCTTGATATCATGAGTGCAGTTAAAGAAAATAAAGGAGGTGTCTTCTTTGTTTATGGTTATGGTGGAACTGGTAAAACTTTTTTATGGAAGACAATATCTGCCGCTATTAGAAAAGATGGTCATATTGTTCTAAATGTTGCTTCAAGTGGGATTGCTTCATTATTATTGCCCGGAGGTAGAACAGCACACTCCCGATTTATAATTCCATTTGAACTAACAGAGGATTCTGTTTGTAGAATAAATCCAGATAGTGACCTTGCAAGCTTATTGAGAAAAACCTCATTGATAATTTGGGATGAAGCTCCTATGGTCCACAAGCACGCATTTGAAGCTTTAGATCGAAGTTTGAAAGATGTATTCAAGTCTGAAAATTCTAGCAACTCAGATATTCCGTTTGGAGGGAAAGTTATTGTTTTTGGAGGAGATTTTAGACAGATCTTACCTGTTATTCCAGGTGGAAGTAGACAAAACATTGTTAATGCTTCGTTAAGTTCTTCATATTTATGGCAACATTGCAAGATCCATAAATTAACAAAAAACATGAGACTAAGTGTTGGAAGGGATCAATCTGATATAGAAAAAATCGGAGATTTTGCAAATTGGTTGTTGGATATAGGAGAAGGCAAACTTGGTGGTATCAACGATGGAGAAACGGTTATTGATATTCCAGATGATATTCTCATTAATGATGCACATGATCCTATAGGTTCATTAATCGAGTTTGTATATCCTTCGATTTTGGAAAAGTACAACAATACAAGCTATTTTCAAGAAAGAGCAATACTTGCTCCAAAGAACGAAGTGGTTCAAGAAATAAACGATCGTTTGCTATTGAAATTTCCAGGAGATGAGGTTGAATACTTAAGTTCAGATAGTATATGCCAATCTGAATTTCTCCATGATCAATTTGATGCAAATTTATATTCACCTGATGTTTTAAATGGTCTGAAAGTATCAGGTTTACCAAACCATAAGTTAGTTTTAAAAATCGGTGTTCCAGTTATGTTGCTGAGAAATATTGATCAGAAAAACGGCTTGTGTAATGGAACAAGACTCCAGGTGATTTCATTGGGCAAACGTGTTATTGAGGCACGTATCATATCTGGAACTAATATTGGAAACCACACTTTTATTCCAAGAATGTCTCTAACTCCATCAGAAAAGAAAATTCCATTCAAATTTCGAAGAAGACAGTTTCCATTGGCTGTATGTTTTGCAATGACCATTAATAAGAGTCAGGGACAGTCATTATCCAAGGTTGGTTTGTTTCTCAAACATCCCGTGTTTTCACATGGCCAATTGTATGTTGCTTTATCTAGAGTCCAAAGTAGGGACGGATTAAAATTGTTAATTTTAGATAAGGATGGTAGTCTCACAAATAAAACTTCCAATGTCGTTTATAAGGAAGTTTTTGGGAATTTATAAACAATGCTTTTCTACCATCTTTTATTTACTTTTCTACCATCTTTTATTTACTTTTCTTGTATCGTACTTCATCTATCATATTAATTAATTAATTTTTACAACTTTATTGTATTTGACTTATTCATATTAATGCTAATATCACTATTCTTCATTTTTTCTAAACTTTCATATCTTTTTTTTGTTACAAATTAAAAACTATAATTATATTTCAATTTATCACCCGTGGATTTCCACGGGTTTAAACCTAGTGTGTGTATATATATATATATATATATATATATATATATATATATATACACACACACACACACTAGGTGTGAGATCCATGTATCACATGGGTTTATTTAAAATAAATTAATATAAAATTCAAAATATTTGATAAGTTTTAATTTATAAGAAAAATGAGAATTGAATTATAAAAATTAAAGTGTTTTTTTTATCTTTTAAATTTAAACAAATAATTTAGATAAATAAATAAAGGAAATTATGAAACTTTAATTTAGTAATTTTGTAATTAGAAGGAAAGTTCATTAATGAAATTGATATGCATTTATTATTAGATTTAAATTACATTTGACATTTAATAAAATAGAAAAAACATAAAATGACAAGTGGAATAAAAATTAATTTAAAATTACCATAAAATTACATGTGGCAAATTGAATGAGAATATGACAAGTGGCAAAAAAAAAACTTCATTTATTAGAGTGTATATATATATATATATATATATATATATATATATACACACACACACTAAGTTATAATCTTTTGAAACCACGGTCATTATATTTAAAAATTTTATATAGATAAAAAATAATAAATGTTAAAAAAAAACCAAGATATTATCGATTATAAGTAATTAGGAATTACTTTGTTAAGCAAAATAAATACAATAATGATATTAGGATATGATTTTGTATTTTCAAAATTTGAATTGAATTTGATTTGTTACCTAAAAAGAAAATAATAAAAATAATAGAAAAATATCATGTGTCAAAGACACATTCTGAAAAACTAACACATTTTATTTTTTAGGTTTCATTTATATATATATATATATATATATATATATATATATATATATATATATATATATATATATATATATATATATATATATATATATATATGAGGGTCCAATTGAGAAAAAAAATTGAGAATGAGAGAATCGTTTTCAACTACATGTTTATTTTGTTGCAAAACACTTAGACATACCAACAGAAGTGGATAACAGATACATATGTGTTTTCCAACAAAAATGTTTCCTTCAAATTTGCTAATCATTACATTAATATATATATATATATACAAAAACTTTTTATTTTTGTTTTTTATTTGTAGAAAGCTATTTTATCAAAAAAATTATTTTAAATATATCAAAATTCATATTTTTTTTATTCTCTATAGATAAACACTCATATTGATATAGTTTTAAGATAAAATAAAAAAATTATTTTTTTACAGATTCAGCTCTCGTTATTTATAACTGAATAAAGACATATCAGATTTTTATTACAGTATATTCGTTATTCACTTATGAATAAAACGTATTTTAACGTTTTTATAGTTTAAGTATCATTCATATATAATTATAATACGTAATAAAGTTTTCTTACCTAAAATATATTTTTTTATATCATCTTTCGTAACATGTTATATTTATATATGAATAAAGTGTGTATTAGTTGCCATCATATGTTATATTCATATATAAATAGATTATTTTTAGATTTTTGTTACAGTTCATTTGTTATTTGAATATGAATAAGTAGTATTTTTATAAAAGACGAAGTCTTTTGCAAATTTGGCTACGTATTCATATATAAATAACAAATGAACTTTAACAAAAATATGATAAATGCGTATTTCATATATGAATATTGTGATGAAGACTAATACATGTTTTATTCATATGTGAATATAACATGTGGCAAAAGTTGATGTAAACTGTAAAGAGTTTATTATATATTATATTCATATATGAATGATGTTTAAACTATAAAAAGAGTAATCAAACTTTTTATTCATAACTGAATAACGAATGTATTACAGTAAAAATCTGATGTATTTTTATTTATATATGAATAACGAGAGCTGAAACTATAAAAAAATTATTTTATCTTAAAATATATCAATATGGATGTCCATTTATAGCGAATAAAATATTAGAGTAAATTACTGAAATGATCCCTGTGGTTTAGGTAAAATTGTGTGTTTAGTCCCTAACTTTGTTTTTGCACTCGTACAGTCCTCAAGGTTTCATTTTATTACGCACCTAGTCCCTATTGACGTTTCCTGTCACTCTTCTCCGTTAAGTATCTCACGTGACTGGCACACTAAGGGTATATTCGTCCTTTTATTTGAAAACCCTTTTTGAAGGTTGTATAATGTGTTTCTCTCTCTCTATTCTAATTACTTTCACTTCATCTTTCTCCATCTTTTTTCTTCTTCTCTGCAACAACAAAACAATAGTAAGAACCCTAATGGCACGAAATTGCAGTTGTGGTCACCCAACTGTAATACGAACATCAACGACGAAGAAGAACCCTGGACGACGATTCTATGCTTGTACCAACAAGGTAACTTGTTAATTGAGCCCCATTAGTAAAAAAAAACCTTTGACGAAGGAAAAAATATCAAATTTTCAGGTAACAACTTGTAGTTTTGTTGGCTGGGTTGATGAAGATGAGTCTGATCATGCAAGAGCTGACCTTTCACTTCTATCAAAGCTTGAAGATCAGAATTTGAAGTTGAGGATGCTATTACTCTTCAGTTGGGCTTTTTTTGTGGCGATCCTAATTTACAAGCTGTAATTTAGTCGATGTAATTTAGTCAATGTAATTTACAAGGCTTTTACTTTATTTTGTGGGAATTGACAATTATGTTGATGGTCTGTAGGATTTGAAAACAATTATCTCCATGTATTTATTTAGTGCTTAATAGAATTGGTATTTTGCAAGAAAAAGGGTTAACTGATCAAAATGTTATGTTGATGGTATGTCAGAATTGAAAACAATTATCTCTGATGTTTTTAGTGCTTAATACAATTAGTATTGTGCAAGAAAAAGGTTTAACTGATCAAAATGTAACACATGTTTATTCTATTTGTACTAATTTAAATCAAAACCATCAATCAGTGACAATTATATCCATTTAAATGTAGAAATTGGTATGAACTTAAATGTCAATAAGTGCAGCAATCTGACCAACTTTAGAAACAACCATCATATCTAATTACCATGCGGTTATACCCTTACAAAAGATACAAGTTCCAAAAGATACAAGGTAATTATAGTAATTGTTAACAGTTAAAACTAAGACATTAAGCAACAAAAGATAGAAGTTCCAAAAGCTAATACATTAAGCAACAGAAATACTAGAAAATACTTCTTCAAACAACATTCTTTCCTTTCTTTCCAGCACCATTTGGTTTCTTCCCAGCATCAACTGCTTTCTTCTTCCCAGCACCATTTGGTTTCTTCCCAGCACCAACTGCTTTCTTCTTCCCATAACCATTTTTTTCTTCCCATCACCATCTGCTTTCTTCCCTACACCATCTACCTTCCCAGTACCATTTGCTTTCTGACCTTTGCAACTTCTAGCATTATGACCATTATTTTTGCATTTCGAACATGTCACAGATTTATTTTTCCTTGAAGCACTATTCCCCTTCACCGAATCTTCCACATCAGACTTCTTTCGTTTCTTTTTTGGTCTTCCAATAGGGACATGATGTTTAGGAGGTAGCAATGTGGTAAGGCAAGGATATTTTTCCCACATTCTTCTTCCATTAATAGGTTCAATCTTGACGGAATACATTTCCTTCCATGTTTTGAGCCAGTAAGTGGGATGAACCCATGATTCATGCAACCCTACATCTTTGTTGTTTTTTCTCATATCCCATATTGCAACTATTGCATGCTTACATGGGATGCCAGTGAGTTCCCATTTCCTACAAGAACATGTGTGTTGAACCATGTCAACAACACACTGGTCCATGCATGGTCCAACAACTTGGTATTTACCATTCCCACAAAACACACCAATACATTGTGATGCCTCATTTTTTATTTTTTCCAATACAGTTGTTGCAGTTGGAGTCAAAGGTCCAGATGCCTTATCAATTACCTTTTGCACTGTGACTATCCTTACCATTAGGTACTCTCTAATGGATTCTAGACAAGTGATGATCGGTTGTTCACGTGCTTTTTGAAGTTGACTATTAAGAGACTCACACAAATGATTTAGAAGACCATCACAATGTGCCCTCCCTGCATTACAATTGAAGTTTAAGCTAACATATTTTACTAACTAACAAAAATGAAGGTATATCAAGTAAAAAGGATACAAACCTATGAAGTGTGACCTAGCCCAGTGCTGAGGTGGAATAGATTTAACCCATTCATAGCAATCATTGTTCAATTTCTTGAACTCTTCCATTGCATGGTGAAATTCTTGCACAGTTGTTACAGTTGCACAATTCCATAACGTGTCCTGAAAGACCCTTCCCCTCCACTGTGTTTTCATGTTTTCGTGGATATGGCGTAGACAAAACCTATGTTCTGCACATGGAAAAAGTGTACCTACTGCATGCAACAATCCCTACCAAATAAAAACATAAATAAAATGAAAATGAATTATACATGTGTAGTTATAAATGTAATTCTTGTAGGAATATATCACCTTCTGTCTATCAGATATAAATGTAAAGTTGGAGTTACTATGCAACTCTAGGTCATCACCCAAACAATTTAAAAACCAAGTCCACGAATTTATGTTTTCGGCCTCTACTACAGCGTGTGCCAAAGGATAGGTACAGTTGTTTCCATTAAGACCCTAAATACAAATATTAAGTTAGTAATAAAAAACATTAAAAATAGATGAGAAAAAAAAATTGTTAACTTACCACTGCAGTGAGGACTGTTCCTGGATAAGGACCCTTCATAAAAGACCCATCCAAACCAATATAATCTTGTTTTCCAGCTGCAAAACCCTTCTTCAATGACCCTAATCATATGTATATCCGCTTGAATATTCTTGATTCACAGTGGGGATTGGGTTCAGTTTCAACTTCAATTTTCACGGTGGTGTTTGGGTTTCGTGTTTGAAGTTCCAAAACATAGTCTCTTAGTATAAAGTATTGGCCTGCATAATTACCTCTCACATGAATATTTGCCTCGGTTTTTGCCCGAAATACCTTCATCTTCGAAATGTCACATTGGTATTGGCATTGGAGTTGTTCTTGTAAAGCTCTTGTAGGAATTGTTGGGTTACTTTCCACCTGTTGCATAATTTTCTTGGATAAAAACTTGTAAGTACATGCTTTCACACTCCTCGTTTGTAGACATACATGTTTTTTTTCATACATACGAACCTCCCAATCTGCATCGTTACTCCACTTGCTTGCATATAGGACCCACGAGCACTTCCTTTCTTCAACAGGCCCACCAACACCTACTTCAATAAGGTCTGGTATACTACCTTTACAAACGGCCCTTACCCTATTTTTGTCATTTTTAATTATGACAATCTCTCTTCTAGTCTCGACAGCATGTTGTTTTATTTTGTTTTTCAACTCTTCAGATGAACCAAAACTCTGATACAAGTAAAAGGGATCACTAACACGCGCTTCACTGTTTTCTTCAGCCTCCTGTATTGCTTTAATTGACTTTCTTCTACTTTTATCCCCCCTCCTCATTGGATGATGACTCATATATCAATATGTCATTGTTAAGCACCTCGATTTGTTCATCTTCCTTACCATATTCTACATTCATACTTAACCCTCCATTGTCACCCATCCATTTTGCATTTTGGTCAATGTTCGAGAAAAATTCTTTCATATCTATGTCAGGCTCCTCAATCATGTTATCCTCGTCTAATAGGAAGTCACTATCTTCACTGTCAGTCAAATCATCACCATGTACTCCCATGTCCTCACTTTGATTGACCTCATCTTGTACAAATGCAGTAAAGTCTTGTACAAATGAAGTTATGTCTTGATCAAAGTCATTTAGAGGGTTTTCACAATGATCAAAGTCTTGATCAAAACCTTGTGTTTGAAATTGAGGTTCATTTGGGGATTTTCCACATTGGTTAACTTCTGGTATGGTAGAACCACTACAATCCCCTGTTGTTGATGTCTTCCATTCTAAGAAAAGCCTTTTAGAACATGCAGGGGGTTCAATAATTTCCTCAATCCTAACTTTATTGGGTTAGGGGACATTAAATACGTCTTCAACATTGTCTTACCATGCTCTGTATAAACTTCAATGAGTTTATGTTTCTCCACATATGTCCTCAAGTGGTTAATATCACTATCACAAGCCAAAGCAAACAAACCAGTGTCAAATCCGATAATGGTCTTTTGAAGTGATAATACAATAGCTTACCTTCCTCTACGCAACCAAGGATGTCCATCATTTCATCAATATCATGAACAGAGAACTCGTCAATGTCCAATAAATCAACATACTTTACTTTTCCCTTTATGTATCTCCTTCCAGGAAACTTTGTAAAAACTCCATTATAAAACAGTTTAATCGAGAAGAATGACGGATTACCACCTGCGAGAACGGGAATGAAGCTTAGGTTTTGAGAGTTTTTGATTTAGATGAGAGTATTAAAAACAAAAATACTTGCTGTAAACTCGTCCAACGTCTATTTCCGCCATGTCTGCTCGAATCCTCCACCCCACCATTGTTGCCTTTAGGAAATCTTGATTGAAATTGAGTAGGTTAGGGTTTTCTAAGTGATTTAGTTGATAGAAGTGGTATCTGTAATGTAAACGAGAAAGATGGTCGGGAAGATATAAGAAACGTTTGCCACATCCATTTAGGCGCCATGTGTAAAAGGACGAATATACCCTTAGTGTGCCAGTCAAATGAGATACTTAACGGAGAAGAGTGACAGAAAACGTCAATAGGGACTAGGCGCGTAATAAAATGAAACCTTGAGGACTGTACGAGTGCAAAAACAAAGTTAGGGACTAAACACACAATTTTACCTAAACCACAGGGACCATTTCAGTAATTTACTCTTATTATTTTATTAATTATTATTATTATTATTATTATTATTATTATATAAGCGTTAAACAATATTTATATAACCCATAATAATAGCCCAAGTACTTACTATAAGTTCCTAATAATGTTACTATAATTAAATAAAAGTTATATTAAAAATAGCGTAGGCATAGTTCACTTACAGCGGGTTTTATAGAAAATCGAACTTCGCTTGGAGCAACATTTCCGAACCAAAAGAACCTTTTTTCGGGACTCTGGGAGCTTCAGGGCTTCCTTCGGGTGCTAGGGGTTTACCTAGGCTTTAGGGGGCTCCAGATAGGCTAGAGAGAGAAAGAAACTAGAGAGAGAAGTAAGAAAGGTGCAAAATAAGGCTGGCTTCGCTGCCTTTTTATAGCCTGCGAGGCCTCGCACTATGTTGGACGTAGCCGAGGTACACTGGGCATAAGGGTCGCATCGTACAACACGCGTCACAAGGTTGTTGGGGCGACGTGGCTTGTTTTAGTTCACAGAAGGCAGCAATATGCGAGGCAGTCCGAATCTCATACGTGAGGTGTAGGGGGAACGCTAGGCGTCCGAAGACCTACGTTGAGCGTACCCCTCGCACAACCTTCGTGATTTGCACTCTTGACTTCAAAATTGTGTATATTTCGTATACGAGCTCCGTTTTCGATGTTCTTTATATCTACACGTAGGCAGGAACGTACTCTACAACTTTCGTTTAGACTCCGTTGGCTAATTTTGATTTTATTTTAAATTTTATATTTTTAACAAGCCGGGACAGGATTAGTTCGTTAAAATCCATAACTTCTTCATCCGACATCCGTTTTCGTCTGTCTTTTTACTGTTATGCTACTGTTAACGAGATCTTCGATTCTCATTTAGGATGTATCGGCTAAATACTGCTCGATCTAGTATTTGAACTCCGGGTTGTACACTTCTAAGCCGAAACTTTGAAAAATCATAATTTCCTCATACGAAGTCAGATTTGGGTGTTCTTTATATGGACGCACTTGGTTTAATGTAGTCTACGACTTTCGTTTAGATCGCTAAGGATAAATATCGCTCTATCATAAATTCACTATTTACTCTTCCGGGTGTCGTGTCAGTTCCGTCGCGAAATTTCAACGAGCCTACCTTTTTCGTTATATTTCGGCGTTTTACGGAACCCTTGATACATATTCTACAACTTGGTTAAGATTATTTATTCTAAATAATCTTTTGTCAAAAGTCATTTTCGACCCCTTTTATCTCTACATTGACTAGTCCGGATCTACGGCCGTTATAGTTACCCCGCTACGCGGGGGCCACAAGCTTTCGATGTTGTTTCTGAGGTGGCAAATATGAATACAATCTGCACGTACGATATTGGCTTCCACATATCGGAATTCTAAATTTTTTTGAGATTGAAGGTTTTCATTGACTTTGTTTTATGGCGATAATTTTTTAGAGTTTTGTGTTATTTTTTCTCCTCTGAAGAAAATGATACCGATTGGACTACAACTGAAAGTATTTTATATCTATTTTAATTGTTTACGTTTATAGTGATTTGGTTTTCAACAAATAAATATATGAAGAGACGACTGAATATGGATCAAAAGATATTCATTCATTAGTGGATGATTACATGACATTGGATTACATAACAGCGGGAACGATATTAGATGGTGGCAAAAGCATATGATTTTGGTTGGTTATGGTGTTGGGTGGTCTTTAATGATTTTCTTGCAAATATCCATTGCTTCTGTCATGTTCTGCTGCATAATTTCGAACATATCGAGCATTAGTATTGTGTCCATGTCGAGATCGCCGATGAGGATGTTGGTGATTACAGCGTGCTTTTATGGCAGTTTGATTGGAGCATCTTCTTGTAGATTCTTCCTGGAGGTGTTAATGGTGTTGTAGGTGTGTTGGACGTCAACCAAGGATTGCTTCATGGTTTCCAGTTGGTCGAGCAGCTTCTGCATGATGGTATCCATGCTGTTTGTTTGGTGTTTGGTGGAGAGGTCGGTGAGTTTGTGGTGTGGTTTCATAAGGGATGATTATGGTTGTTCGATGCCATTAAATATGGTAATTTAATTGTTCTCCTGGAAAGTCATAGATATAGGGCGGCTTGATGGTTTTTTTCTTGATTTGGTAGATACAAATCTTGGGTTTGGGTTCGGTAATTAATTTCACAAGCACTGTGTGGTGCTTATTTGTCACTTGGGTCAGAATGTCTGGATAAGTCTTCAAGTGCATGTTGTATAAATGAAGTGGTAGTTTGTGTTTGGTGGAATTTATGGAGTAGCATTTAATTCTATAATGGTAATGTTAATGATTTCCGTAATGAAGGTTGTATGTATAATAATAATCATTTACTGGATCTATAGAGATAACGTAATATATTATTAATTAATGGATTATTTAAATTGTTATGTGTGTATTCATGTTTCACGTGACCGGTAGCATACATATTTTTTTAGGTGGTACCTTAGTTGATACAGGAAAAGAAGTTGTTATATATATTACATATTTTTAGTTGTATGGTTGTTTGCGTATGTAAGTTGGGAAGGCTATGCATATTATCATTACATCTGCTAAATTTAGAAGAAGAACATTAATGAAAAGGGAAGTTAGTTGTTATAGTTTTCACTAGTAGGGGGTCATGATGGTATGTTTATATTACAAAAGATAGAGATATTGGCCCATACAAAAGATAGATTTTATGGTGCTTGTCTATGATGCTTACTATTTTTCGGTCTGCTTTGCACTTTTTGTTGGTGTACGTCCTGTCATACATGAACTGAAAGCTGTTAGTATATGTTTGTGTATTTTGTTTTTTACATTTGATTTTGTTATATGTGTATTTACCTTTAGGATCGTAAGTGAGAGCATGTGCAACATGTTGAACAGGTGTGGATGAGCCTGGTGTGCTGTCATTTGGTTGTATTCTTGTCATTTATGGTAGAGCTGTTGTTCTTGGGATAGATGTTTCAGACATGGTTGTTGAGTCTTCGATGTCTATTATTATGAAGCGCACATTGTCTGGAGTCAATGCTCTAAGCATTTGGATTGACATTGTTTTTGTTTATTCTTTGTGATCAGTAATGGGTGAGGGCAGGATGTTTCTATTAATGAGTGGATTGTCAGATATAAACTTTTCGAGCGATGACTTTAGTAGCTTCCGAAATGATGTCTCAAATATTACTCCTGATATGGTGGTTGTAGCGTCGATGATGGTCACAGTGAATTTGCATCTATGGACAGAAAATATTTGTAAAGACTGTTGTTACAGAGTAATGACCTTTTGTTTAATTTAAAAGATGCTTAAACGTAATTTGGCTTTTCAATCAGTGCGTGTGCACTGAAGAACCACTTTTCAACCCTTCTGAAGATTCGATCCTTGCAAGTTGGACATGTTGTTTGGTACCAACTGTTATGAAAGTGAAAATCTTTGATTGAAGCCCGTACAATGAATGTTTTATCCTGTAGATGTGAACAAATTGGTTGTGGATGTGTGAAACGAATTCCATTTGTAAATAGAGGTATTATTAGTACCACATTACCAGGAGATCAGATCTGTTTTTGGCCTTCATGTCGTATAGGGTCGAGGGTGTTCCTGATAATGTCGGCACTGGTCTTGAATGTCCTGTAAATTTGATGGGATTTTGTTATTAGTACAGGATGTTTACCATATGGAATATATTATGTTTTTTTCCTAATTTATATGAGTTACAAGTTAATGAGAGATGTTGTTTCTGGTATCTCTGGGTTGACATGGATATGTGTAGCATGTGATGAGCCATGGCATAATGCTCCTATAGAAAAGTGTTTTGGAGATTAAAACCATCAGAATACATGATGTGACAGTCATAGGAGATATATATCGAGGGTTGTCTACAAAAAAGTACCATTAGATATGGACGGTTTTAGGTTCGTGGCCGCAACAACAGTTGTCACGGGTGGTGGATGTAAGCAGGAACGGTTGAACTTATGTGGATTGGTTATACATTCTTTCCATAGATTGATTGCAAGTTCACTACCACTAACAAAACTGAAATTGTTTTGGTATTAGATGGCTATCACAGGATTGATAAGTGTAGTTTTTTGGTTACCATGTATACCTTTCGTCAGTTTGTATAAGTAACACAAATGGTTCTCCACTCGCTTTGGTGCAATCCCTGATCTTCGATAAAACGCCAATGTAGTCTGTTTAGAAGTACATGTAATTGTTTAAGGAATAGGTATGTAATCAGATGGGTCGGTATGATGACTACCTGGATAATATGGGGGTGTTTCTCCAAGCTCTATGAGATGTGACTTTGATACAAAGAGAAACTAGGTTTCAGTATGGTTATTGTGTCCGGAATTGGTTCTATGACAGACATGAGGCCAACATCAATATAGAAGTCACTTTTCAAGGAATTTTTGATACTTATCTAATTGAGGGCAGCAGTAATCTGATATGTTGTAACATTCTGAAACATTGAGAACAAACTCAATGTAGCTCTGATTCGTTCGTTGTCTAAGAATTTGGATGGCATTCGCCTATAAAAACACATTGTTATAAGATTAGATCAGTACAGTTTGTGACTCATTGTGGTAATAAAATTTTACCATTTTGCACAACATTAAAAAAAACGAAATCCCAATTTGGCTCCAATCTGGCAACAAAGAAAGTGTGAAATTTGGAATATTTGAACATAATTACTTAGTGAGGAGAATAACATGTACTTATTTTACTAAAAGATTAAAATAAGACTTAACCATATAAATTAACATATAATAGTCGTCGAATATTTAATATAGTCTTGATCAATAAGATAATAAAATTGATAAATTTACAATGACTGTAATAGCCAAATTAAATAGTCTATGTATTGGGTTTGTGATAATCAAAGTGACTTTTAATAAGAGGATTATATTGAATGGCATGATTAACAAATAAGAATTAGAACATAAGTCTAATTGGGTGAAGTTACCGATAAAAGTATGACTTGTTACCGTAAGATTAAGAAGAATGTGGAGAAAAAAATAGCATATTACATATCAATAGCTAGTAAAAAAACAGTTTTTGTTTAGACTATAGATAAAAACTATAAAGTACATTTAAAAATGTTTGAAAGTAAAAGTACAAAGCTTATGACAATTAAGTTTGAATGCACTCTTATCAGTCTAAAAGTATTCAGTATTTATATGGATTGCAGAGCATAAAACTGTGAAGATTTCCTGCATTTTAGGAGTAAAGGGCAAAATTCTCCATTTTATGGAAATGTGGGGTACCAGGTTCAGTTTATGCCAATGGGTTCGTTTTTCGTATTTACAGGACTTCCAGATACTTGCAAACTTATAGACGTATGCCATTCATGGAATCCATTCTATTCTACAATATCAATATATATATATATATATATATATATATATATATATATATATATACATATATATATATATATACATATATATATATATACATATATATATATATATATATATATATATACATATATATATATATATATATATGTATGTATTTTTGAACATTGTGTTTTAATATTTAAAGAAAATGAAAGTATAAAATTTGGAACTTGGTTTTATTGTATTGTTTTTTAGTGATAACTTACAAATCTGTCGACAGCTAAGTACCAAGTTTCATATTGTCGGACTTCATGTTTCCATTTGCGTAGTATTCTAACTTGTAGGGGGCCTCCAATACCATCAGTCTTCAATTCTGAGATGCTCGCCATGGCTTGCCTATGTTTTCTAATTCAGAGAAATATGTGGAAATGAGTGGTATATTCAGATGAGAACATGAAAATCTATAAATATGTAAGCTATGGTGGAGCAGTGAACACAAAAAAAAATGAAAATTCGGTAATGGTTTTTGGAAAATAGTTGACAAAAGGTATGACATGTAGTGATACTATAGACCTCGGGTGAAGTAACTTTCTGCAGTAGATCTTTGAAGACAATGTTTTTGATTTTATTGTGTTCCATTGTGTCATTGCTATCTATCAGTATTTTTATGGAATATGGTGATGTCGCTTGGGATAGGGCTACATAAAGTTGTCTGTGCGCAAAGACAGGCTATCACAAATAGATGCCAATTCTACGCAGTGATGTCCTTAAGTCTCGTTGATAGTCATCGCGTAGCAAACTTTCACTGGGAACTGTTTTCATGAAAGCGTGAATGGAAAATATGATGACTTATGTATAGATTTTATGCATGGTATATATACATGTTTTCCAATGCAAGTGTCAGTTATGATGGTTGCTTCAATAACACTTGGTAACAATTGAGAGATAATCAGTCGGGTACCGTTACATAGACCTTCCCTCTAATTTATGTTTCTTAACAACATTATTGGACAGTGTACTTTAAGTGTAAGCTTGTGTGGTGGTATTCCTGGAAAGTTTAGTTGGTTTGAGTATTCAATTGGATACAGGCCTTCCAAATGTGATGTGTGCTTCCCATTTGGTTGCATGATGTTTGTGCTATTGTATGTCCTACCACTTGTTGTGACCATTTTTAAAATGTGAGGATTTATGTCATCAGCTTAATCATTTGTAGGAGAAACTATTGCTCTTACTGAAAGGTGTGTGGCAGTCGGATTGTCGAGTGTGTCATCCCCATAAACAAAATCTATTAATGTTTGTAAAGAGTTGGGGGTAGGTGATATTAGGAGTGAGGATAGAATTCGTACCCAACTTGAGTCACGTGGATCATCTTTTTCAGGTACACCTATGACTCCGTCTCCAATAGCTAACAACCATGTGGCAAAGGCTGATGCAGACATTGAACTGTGGGTCGGTTTTTCATAGGATTGTAGTCTCATGTTCGTATGTAAAATCTGAATTGTGAAATATAGCCAAAGATACAAACTTGGTAAAGTTAGTGCAATGATTTCAGAACGTGTGTTTTGTAAGACGGGAAGAGTTTGGCGGAAGTCACCAAAAAGAAGCATCGATATGCCTCCAAACGGCTACTAATCGCAGTCCATCACATCTCTAAGAGAGTGGTCCAAAAATTCAAAGCACCTTCTGTCACTCATTAGCGCTTCATCCCAAATAATGAGTGTTGTACACTGCATAAGATCTCCAAGGAAGGTGCGGTTTTTATATTGCATGATTTTTTGTCTGTTAAGTCAATGGGTATCTTGAACCTTGAATGTGAAGTTGTTCCAAAAGGTAACAAAAGCGACGCAATTCCAGAAGCAGCAACAACCAAAACTATTTTTCCTATGGACCTGAAATATGAGAGGATAGTCGTCCATAAGAATGTCTTGTCGGTATCCCCGTGTCCATAAACAAACATTAGATTTGTTTTTTGTTTTCTATGGAACTAACAACTGTGTGGTACACCGATTGTTGGTTACTGTTTAGCTTTGGTAGTAGTTCAATGTGTTGCTTAAGCATGCCTTCCTTATCGTAGCTTATTTCTTCTAGCAGGAGCCGATTTTATAAAATACCAATGACATCGACTGACGGAACTGGAAGACCAAAATCTGCCATCAATTTAGATGGGATAGCGGAACGGAGGGTGTCATCTAAATCATGGAGCAGCTGTTGTTCGATTATTTCAGCAACTGAAGCAACACTTTTATCAGGCATTTGGGTTCTCAGGGTACGTTAGTAGTCGTCTTTCATCTTATCACACGCAGTTTCGCACAGCAAACGTGGATTGCTGACTTCACTGGAAAAGCAGTAGGTGGCAAAATAGTGATCGGAGCTATGATGAATTTGCCCAGATGGAAGCTTCAGTGAAACAGGTCACACATTCAATCTCATAACCTATCAATCCAAGTGCATTGCAAGCAGCCCTGAAAGTTGGGTAAACTGTACCAGCTACAGTACGCAAATCTTGAAACGACGTACATCCCTTTTGGTGATAGAGTAGCATCCGTAAGTAAAATAATTCACCAGAAGTAGGATGTACGAATACAACTCGGCCAACTATTTTCGATGACTCATGAACTCTTCGGCTCCATGACTTAGATGACTTATCCCATTTGTAAGATTTTGGATATTCTTGGTAAGTCGGATCATGAATTTTTGCGTCCTTTGCATTGCTTTTGAACCATCCAAGTAGGGTAGTCATGCTACTGTATGGATTTGATAGTACTTCAGGTATTGTGATACCCCCATTGAACACCAAATGTTGCATGTTTTCCACATGTACGATTAGAATCTGAACAGGTGGGTGGCGATGGTGTATATGGAAGTCTAAAATCCGCCATGTTGCCTCGTGTGGGCATATGTAGCACCCATCCAAAAAAAATTGGACCTCATTTATAGGACGAATATATTCATTTTGGGAGCTGTTATGACACGTAGTGAGCGTGGCAGTAGATGATTCAATGGGTGATCCTGCATTTTAGATAGTGTATCTTACACGGTCAGCTCCTTTAGAAATATATTTAAATTGGTATTTAATCATCATGTTCCAGCTGTAGTACTCAACGATGATGTGTGCACGGAATCATGAACAAAGCCTTTTGTTTTACGGCACAACATATCCATTGTTTATAATCTGTCCATATTGGGTGATATGGTGTGCAGTTAGCCTACGTTTGTAGCGTACGTATCCCCCCGTGCCAAACAATGTAGCATGAACAAAGAGCTTAGGGAAACATTTAATACATTTACCGTCTTTCATACATGGAACCTTTTGGTTAAGTGGTCCGCACGGGCCATGGATCATACAGGTTGTTATCGTCTCGTACAAGTTTGGCTCTTTAATTGGATCTGGCAACTCGGCTGTAATATACGTGTCAGCATCGGCTGCAATTTTTATTTGTTCTAAGCTTTTTACACAGAGTAAAGTATGAGAATGGGGAAGACCTCTCTTTTGGAATTCATTAGTGTACAAATCTGCAATAATGAAGAATTTTCCAAATATTAATGTTTGACATTTTTTTGTTCTAAGTAAGTGCATAAGCATAAGTTGAAGTTCATATTGTAAGACATAACGAACTGAAAACATACCATATTGAGTGGAATATAGTTAAAAAAAGTAATAATAAAAAAATTGAAATAAAAAAATGCGCATGTTCCACCCTGGTATGGAATCTAATCTAGGTCTGTTAGGAAGCGTATGAGAGTATGCACTAAAGTTTTTTGTGACAGGGAAATAGCATAAAAGTTTCAATTTCTAGCAAATGAAAACAAAACAACACTAAAGAACAAAATTAAAAACAGGTAGCAAAAAAACATCCTAAACATTTGTTAGTGAGATTGAAACAAAAACAATAACATATCTATAGAGGGGTAAGTATGGAAATAGGGAATCATACATTGCCCAGATAGCACAAAATTCAATCAAATATACTTTCGGAAGATAAGAGAATCATACATTGCCCAGATAGAAGATTAGAAAGAGTAACCCCGTTTGAAAAAGACGTAGAAATCTGCAATTTCATATTGTAGAATCTACTATAGCTTTATGTATGAATAATAAGTATATTTTTAAACATATATTATGTCACACCCCAAAACCAAGAACGGCGGAAACATTCTGGGGCAGGGGCCAATTATGATCCTCAGCAGCAACAAGGTGCTCCCAAGCGACCCTGGGGAAGCTCTATTCCCGACTTGAAATCCATAAAGGACTTTAAGGGAGAGAAAATAGGGGGCCCTAAAATGACTCTTTTTTGGGAGAGTATGCCAATATGATCTTAATGAGGTGCGGGGCTTTGCATCTGACATTCGTTGGGCTTCCCTCTTCGGGAGCCTGCGTCCCGGCGTTTTTGTGCTCGACTGCTTCTAGCTTATTGGTCCACTGCCTCCCCAGCTAAGCAAGAACGCAAGAAAGCACTCTTTCACACAACATTGAGGGCTTTTTCATAAGAAGCAGCACTCTCGCATGATATAGACCACGAAAAATATGAAGGTGAACCACTCTACTAGTTCTGGAGTCAAGCCAGCAAAGAAGTAGACTCCTTCCTTTTTCACTGGCGCTATTGTTGTCTATATACAAGTGGCGTAGGCGAAGCTGTGGCGACTCGTGGAGTAGACGACTAGTCAGTTACCAACCGACCGCTCTACCACTGAGCTTGAAATAAAAAAAGGGTAACGAGGGGGGTTCGCGTCTATACGTGTAGTGTGGTGGTTGGGCCTAGCCACCCTATTTGTTCCATGAGGTAGTTGATTTCATTAGGGAATTGAATTGCAGGAAGGTCAGGTAGTCCTTAGGCCGTTGAGCGAAACTCTTTCCATCCAATCAAAGACGCGAAGCGCCTCTAATCTAAAGGCAATGCAAAGTAGTAAACAAGCAACAACATCATCCATTGCATTAATATTATAATTTTAAATACAAGTGTGTTCTTTTATAGAATAACAATATAATGAATATTCAAAATAAAAGACGAGTCTTGACTGCTCCGTCTTCACAAAACCTAGTCGTCGTACATGTCTATTTGTGACCTGAGAATACAAGTTATTTTGAAAGCGAGTATGAGCAATAAAGCTGGTGAATTGATAAGTATTGAATCTCATTATTTGTAAATAAAACTTGTAATAAAAGACTTGTAATTGTTTTGAGGAAAAGTTTGTATAAGCATGAAAACCCTAGAAAATCCAATATTTCCTACTAGTATAAAAAGTAGTTTTCTACCAAGATCAAAATGAAAGTAAGTAAATAGTCTTCTAACGAGAATCGCTAAAAGTAAGTAAGTAGTCTTCTCACGAGACTCGTTGTAAGTAAGTAGTCTTCTCACGAGACCTGTTGTAAGTAAGTAGTCTTCTTATG